AAGCTTTATGGAGAGGGGTATTTTTCACTTTCTAGAGGGCGCTGTTCAGCCACTTTTTTATGAACTTTCACATCGCCAGTGAAATACGTAAATTTCACGCACTTTCTATATTGGGCCAGAATTTGGTGACTTTTTGGATATGCTAAGACCCCCTAAAGGCCACCCAAAGACGCGGAAGAAAAAAAATAATAATAATAATAAATAATTAAAGCTGCAAGCAGCGTCGTTCGGCCCTCGCAGCGAAGCTGCTCGCCCTCCGTCCGCACCCCCTCCGCTCCATCCCCGACGCTCTCCAAACCCAGCTTCGCGCCGCTCCTTCCTGGCTGGTAGCCCAGGGCATGTCTGTGGAACAGAAACGTCGACCACCTCGACACCAGAAACCGCCAACGGTCACCTCGTCCGCACCTCACCCTGATTCAGCATCCCCTCTGAGGCCACCATTATATTACACGTCTCACCACTAGGGCATACTCAGAGTATCCCTTATCACAAGTGTGGAGGTACATGCAACATGTGTGACAAAGGCGCCACAATCAATTTCTAACTCTTTTACAGAAGATAATTTTGCTGTTCACATGACGTTGTATGTGTGTGTGTGTGTGTGTGTGTGTGTGTGTGTGTGTGTGTGTGTGTGTGTGTGTGTGTGTGTGTGTGTGTGTGTGTGTGTGGGGCTGAAGCTGTGGCTGAGTAGCAGCAGGCCGAGAGACTGGCATCGCAAGGTCCGTCCTGTTCCTTAAAACCTTGTCCAGGATAGCAGCAGAAAAGCCAGCAGAGGGACCAGGAGGAGTAGTGGAGCCTGAAGAAGCAGCTATCGGACCAGCAGGGGATGCAGAAGCAGAGGGATCAGCAGGAGCAGGAGAACCATCAGCCGCTGTAGAGCAGGAGCCTTTGGCAACGTCCTGGTCGCTGCAGCTCCTATTGTTGGTTGCTTTGAGATGAGGGAGTCTAAAAAGACCACAAAAGCTTTGTAGTGTGTGTTGTTTAAGCTTGGAAGGTGCAAATTAGATTTGTTCTGCCCCATACCTTCCACAGATTTACAAGCAGCCACCATCTCTGCATCATCATCCAGCCACGACAGAGGGTGTCTCTGGGAGGGGCGTGATTCCTCCTGCTGAGCAAACAGGAAAAGCATCAATTAAAGACTTAGTTAACTTGAAAATTTTACTAATTATGTTTAAGGCTAGAAATAATTTACTGCCAACTAATCTATAAAGGTCCTTTGTTTTGAACCCAAAAAATGAAGAGTAGAAAGAAACCAGAGTTTAAAAGGATATTTGTTCGTACTACATTAAAGCAAATGTGTATGTTAACATATGGTGTGAAATTATGGAATAACCTGGATGATGAATTAAAAAAATGTACAAGTACTGGTCAATTCAAAAAAATGTATAAAGATAAAAGGCAAAAATCGTATGATTTGGTGGGTTTAGGATGGAGGATTAATGTTTTAGTAGTGATATTATTTGTGGAAGTAAGAGAGCGGTTTAATTTTTGTGTATAAGGCTATTTTGTACTTTTTGTTATTTATCTTGTCTTAGTTAAAGGGGGTAGGTCATAAGATTTTTTCTTCTTCCTCCCCCTATTTCACTCGAATGCTTATATTCTAATTTGAAGTTTGTATATTTAAACTTTTGAGTGAAATAAATTATTGAATTGAATAAACAGGGAGCCCAGTGTGCGCCCCCCAGTGGAGGGTTAAGGTATTTATATTGTGCCGTATCACACACCATGGTTGGCGGAAGAAGAAGTAGTTCTTGCTGAAAATGCTGAAAAGTAGCGGGGGCGTCCTCAAACCGAACGGCAACACGGTGTACTGGAGCAGGTTATCTGGAGTGACGAAAGCAGACACTTTAGATGCAAACGGAGTTAGCGGCACCTGCCAATAGCCTTTTAGAAGATCTAGTTTAGTAACAAATGTAGCTGAACCCACACTATCCACACAATCCTCTACACGAGGCAAAGGAAACGAATCTGGGACGGTTTTTGCATTTAACTTGCGGTAGTCAGTAACAAACCTATATGAGCCATCAGGTTTATTTTCCAGTAAACATGGTGAGCTCAAGGAACTGGTGCTGGGCTTTGCTAGGCCATGTTCTAAGATAACAATGGTGGCATGCACTCTCTAATGTGCTTGTAAGTACGAATGATGAGGGTCCACCTTGAAAATGCCACACCTTCCACTGTCTTTGGGTTTGGGTAAGCCATGCAGAGCTGGACAAAAAGGGCTTCAACAATCTGGTTGCAATCCGGCTACTGTCCAGGAATGCGTGCTCCAGAATAGAACCTAGGAGGACAAAAGTAAGAGAAATGGACTGAGGCAAGATCTGTAGAAGAATATGCATCAGTGGCTGAACAGCTGTGAGCAATATACTGTTTTGTCGACTCAACGCCTGGTGCAACGATTTTTTTGTTGCTCTAAAACGGCCTTTGTTCAGGGTTGTTTGGTGGCGTGGTTAAAAAACGGTGCGCTCCTTTTTGTGTTCTGACAATCTTTTCCAAAGAGCGACAGTGTTATTGGAGTTTTCAAGGGTGAGAGCCAGGTTGTGCTCTCTCAGACTGAAGAGTGCTTCAGTCAAATTCTGCACAGCTCTGAAACCTTCTGTGTTGTCGGGGCCAACGGAGTCCTAAATGATGTTTGTCACGTATTTATAAGAAAAGAAATGGGCAAAAGTAGCCAAATCATATCTAACTTACCTGTCTCCTTGATGTCCCTGGAGCAGGTGTCATCAGAGTGGAAATCAGGCAGCCTTGATGGAGATGCAGCTAAACATAAATATCAAAACCTTTTATTAAACACACACACACACACACACACACACTTTCAGACACAGGTTCATAGAACAAAATTAATCAGTAACCTGGTTCTAAAGTCACTTATGTCATGTGACTTTACATAATAAAAGAATCCATCTTGACTTTCCCATCTATGTGATATTTGGGCATGAACATCACTCACTTTCTTTCATTGCATCCACAGGAGCATGTTTAACTTCTACAGATGCTATCTCTAGGAAGGGTTCAGATGCAGGTGATGTCAAGAAGTCATGTGAACAGGCAGGTTGAGGAGTCTGGAGCATGGTTTCCAAAATGGGAACTGTGAGATCCACAAAATCCTCAGACTCTTCAAAGCCCTCATATTCTGCCACAGCTACGTCCTCTGTCTCCAATGCTGCATTTGCCACTCTGCGGTCCTCAAGAACATCTCCTGTTTGGTCGTAGATATACTTGACCCCAATGAGTTTCCCTGAAAGCAATCAATCAAAAATCAACTTTAACTTTAATTAACGTTTGTTTAACTGTAAGTCACTGTCACGACACAATTTCAGCAAACAAACACATTGTTGACTTTTAATTAGCTAGCATGAAATATTAATCTAATCAGAGCTTGGTCAAAGCTGAACTTCGTCTCCTCTGACTCGTGCATCAGCTCAGGTAACACACCTGTGTACGCCTGTGGCCCTGTGTAATTCACACAGCTCTTCCCGAGAACTTCCTGTGACAGCTGGTTTGAAGCATGCCTCAGGAGGCCACTGTAGGGGTGAGGCTCTGATCTCCCTTCTGCTGACATGGTGCGGTCTTCGTTCTACCTGGCCAGGCCATCCAACAGATACGCTTGAAAAAAGGTGTCACTTGCCAGCAGTGGCGGCTGGTGAAAAATATTTTTGTTGGGGCTGTGCTATTTTTTTTTTAAACAAACTTGTGTTTTCTGAGCTTTGTGAACAACTTCACTATTTCCTGAATTAAGCACAGCTCTTTTATTTCCTGTCTTACATTATTGGACAAAGGGATTAATCCACGTATGTCTGACTATTGGCACACTGCCTTGCGGACCAAGGTTGAAAAATACTGCATTAAATTGCACATAAAATAACATGACCATATATGGTCCACATCCACATTACTGTTTGTGAAACTAACATACTGGAGAATTTCATCACAATAATAATAAATAAACAAGTATGTACCTGATCTTTTGTATACTGTTGTTGAAGCTCTGGATTACCCCTGTGATGGAGACAGAGTCAATGTTCCTCTTCTGCAGCTGGTTGAACAGCATGTCCACATGTGGCATGATCTTGTGATACAGTGCCAGCAGAAAGCCGTAATCTTCCTCCAGCATTCTCACAAAGCCTCCTGCCTCTCTCTCAGTGACTGGATTTAAGTCATCCGAGTCTCTGATCATCTGGAAAAATCTGAGCAGGTCATCCTTGTGCTCATACACTGTGTTGACAACTCTCTCTTGGACAAAATGTGCCGGTTCTGATCCACTTCTTCATTGTGTTTATTCACTGCAAGCCTGCGTCCCTCGTCTGTAGCTGCATGGCTATGTTAGCTCTGCCTAGCATAGCTAGCTTCACCGTGTTGTCCATGTGCGCCCGGGATAACTCATGTTTCTTCACCTTCTCAGAAAAATGTTTCATGTCCGTAACTCCTGACTCAATCCATGCCTCATCTGTCACAGTCGTTTGGAAAGCAAAATAACGCATTAGCGTGATTGCATCCAGCTAGCCAAGCCTTCCCGAAGCCTCGTGTGTACAGTTTACCTCTCTCCTCCTCCTGCTGGCTTATCTTTACGTCGGGCTGATCTGGTCCAAGCTCTTTGATATTAAGTTTTTCCACCATAGTTCTCCTCTCGAACGGATATTGGAGAAGAGACCGAACTGAATTCATTGGCTGCTGAGATCCGGTATCCATGCTGCTGCTGGTTGTAGGCGCACTGGCGTCCATGTTTGTTACGTCTGCGTGATGACCGTGACGAGTGATGGCCAAAAACGTGCTGGAGTCGAGAATCTCCAAGTTCTACCGAGCACTAACGAAAGCCTTTGGCGGTAGCTCTATCGCCCATCATCATCAAAGCTGAGTCCACGTATCTTCGGCTTCGTGAGGGGGTGGTCTCATGTAAAACCGAAACCATACATGGATGTAACGTGATCTGTCGTTCAAGAAACTGATTGGTTTATTTTGAAATTTCCGAGTCTGGCTTACTGATTGGACGATAGTACATTGTGTTTTGAATAAACTTCAATCTAATTGGGAGTTTTTTTCCACGTGATGTTTTCCATCCCGCCGATTGGCTCACAGTTTGGCTATATATGTGTCATTTGAACTGCATCTAACGTCTTTTTTAGTAAGACTTCTCTGAGTGCACACGTACGTTTGTTTGGATCTTTACCTGTTGCGTTTCTTGTTCTCTGTCATTTGTTTTAGTATGTTTGTTTATTTTTAAGCATTTTTAGTTGTTTTCATCTTGTTCACTTCTTGTCATGGTGAGTAATGAATGCTTTGATAAATAACTTCTTGTCATGGTGAGTAATGAATGCTTTGATAAATAATTTCTTGTGCAGATCTTTAAGCAAGCAGTTTTATTATTCCTGTGATTTAATTTGGAACCGAGTAAAGCTAACTGGTTGGATGGTGTGGATTCAGTTACACAGAGAGTGAAAGTGTTTGCACAGTGCGCTAAGCTGCCTATTTTTTTTGTTGAGAGATCAGCAGTGTTTGGATCCACAAAGTGTGACTACTTTGATAGTGGAAACTGTGTTTATGGCTTATTTTTGTGCATTTAAAGTTCAACCGCCATTGATAGTTGTTAAAAGTTGTTAAACCTGTGCATATGAAACAAAAAATAACGCTTTTTGTTATCGATTTATTGTGAAATAACGGAAGGTGTGCTTGCTCCTTTTCCTGTTGAGCGGTTGTGATTTCTGTCCATTGACTGCGTAAGTGCTCCGTGTGTCTCCGCACTGACGCAGAAGAATGTAACGGTTTCAATATTGATTGCTGAAGTATGTTACAAAGTTGTAGACATATTCGTTTTGTGGGTCATTTTTGTCACGTTTTATTTAATAGTCAATACTTGAACATTTTTCTGCATAGCAATAAAGACGTAAATGCTACATGTGCGTTTGAGAAGCAATGGCCCATCCGCCATTTTGGGTGGGTGTTTAGTCTTCAAATGCAAGGGAACTTGTCCGTCTAACGAATGCAATGTGTTGAATGGCTTCCCATTAAACATGGCGCTGTTTCCGTCATTTTGGGTGGGTTTTTTAACTTCAATGATGTGAGTGGGAACCCATCTAAGATGGCGGTCAGCTGCTACGTCATTTCTTCCTTCAGTCGTGTAGATCAGGGATTCCCAAAGTGTGGTGCGTGCGCGAGCTGCCGCTAGGGGGTGCGTGAGGTGAAAAGTGTAATGGCTGCAGAGCTCAGAGAATTCTGTCAAAAGTCACCATTAGCGTAGCCAGAAACTCATTTGTGGGTGGTAGGGATCATGATAAAGATCTATTGGAGATCTAACCCAACTTTTGGACTGCTCTGCCAGTCACTGTGGCTCAAGCTGAGAGGAGCTTTTCAAAACTTGATCAAGTCATACCTGAGGTCACCTATGTTTCAGGGGCGGCTGACTAACCTGGCTCTGATTAGTATCAATCACTCAGTAGGGGAGCAGATTTCATATGATGACATTATTGATGACTTTGCATCAAGGTTAGGTTTTAATTTTAGTTTGTGTTTTCAGTTCTAAGTGCAATGCCGTAGTGATTATCTTTAGTTTGTTATGTGTGAAATAATTTTGCTATTTAGTAGGGCTGCACGATGTTAGGGAAACCTGCGATATTCCATAACAGTGCTTAATTTTGCAATACCGATATTACTCACGATAGATGAACAAATACTAAAGTATGCAGTGTTGATGTCGTCTGGTGTGTGACGTCTGCTCTGGGTTCAAAGCAAACAAAAACTAATGCATGAATTCCATTACAGCATACCATTTTTATTGAAAAAATATGCAGCTGCACCTGCTACTGTATTAGCAGCTGCACCTGCTACTGTATTAGCAGCTGCACCCGCTACTGTATTAGCAGCTGCACCTGCTACTGTATTAGCAGCAAAACAACAAACTGCATGCAGGCAGTTTCTCAGTGACTTTAAAACATCACCTCCACCATAAAACTTTTTCTGATGCTCCAAATACAGGAAAACATCCCTTACCAGGGTTTTTGAATAAATAAAAAAAAAAAACAGAAAATAAGTTTAAATGTTAAATAATAGTTAACATCACTTAAATGCAACAGCAAATTCTCTCATTGCTACTGAACATTTTCTCCACTTATGTGGTTATGATATAAGGCTGTTGCTGTAATTGGGAAGTGAACTGTGCTGGGCCAACTTAGGAGAATATTAAGATTTTCTGAGGGAAAGAGAAAAACAATCGTCTACCTTTCAGAAGAGGAACTGGCAAAAAACTACATGGAAAATATGTGAAAACGTTTGTTTTTAACCCCAAATTGAACAAGTTTACCTAGATCTTAAAAAGCATCTCAGATGATGAAACTGCAACTATGATTCTGATAACAAGCTAACAAATTGAACTAGCTCCTCTAAGATAACCGGCTAGCAGAGCTTCTGACTGACAGTTTATGTGCAGCAGCAAATCAACTATCCTGATTAACAAGGTTATAAAAGCTCATAAATGAAAAATCACTTTGATGTGTGGGGGAACTTTTCCAGGCCCTCTTTAGCAGGGTGGGACTGGGAGGAGAGTGCTGTAGCCTTTTAGCTGGAAGCTAACTGGAGCCTGGGGCTAACGGTGGGTTGGTTCACAGGCACGTGTCGGAGTCAACCCCGTTATTATCAGCTGCTTAATGACACCGAGCGGACTCACGTTCACGTTTGAAAGCAACACTGATTCCAGAAACCTCAGCACAAAGTGAGTTAGTTAATCTGAGCCAGCATGACGAACAAGGGAAGCGAGCGGCAGTGGAAAGCGGGGGGCAGAGCAGAGATAGTGGAATTTTGGGGTAAGGGTCTACGTAGGGGGCAGGCGTATTACGTGAACGGACCCGTCTGATTGGCTGCATATCAGAAGGGCTACATTTGATTGGTCAAATAATACTTCCGCTTAAAAAACAGAGTTGGTTTACAAAAAGTTGATGTATGACACGGATACCTCAAAGGGGGACTTGCCCGGGGAGTAATTCCATGTAGAACCGCCACTGGGAACAAGCACAATTCAGCCAAAGTTTCATCATCAGGGAACATTTTCTGTGAGAAGTCTCTCTGAGAGACCGGGTTTGGAAAACTCTCACTTCAGTGGAAGGAATCTTCCTGCATGGTTCTGCAACGTTCTCCAAGCCCCTCTCCACATCTTCAGCTCGCTGTGCACCTTATGTACATGCTGACAGTGAGCTGCACTGAGCGGTGTCCAGCTCAGATGTTCAGAAGGGAATCTTTTCTTGAGTGATTTAGCTACATCTGTGATTTGCGAAACGAATAAAGTGTCAGTTCGTCTGCGTGCGTCGGAGTAATTCTTTCTTTCTCCGTCAAAATAAATGGCCAAATACGGGAACTGTCCGGTCAACACAAGCCCTGCTTTTAACTGTTCTGTTTTCTTGTGAAAATAGATAAAATTAAACTTGATTCAGAGGCAGGCGCACTGCGCCATTATCTCTGTCACTATAAATGAGGGAAAAATAAAATGATCGGATCCTTTTCTGACCTTCCCCACCTACAAAGTTTAATTACAACAATCAAACGTGACAGAGCCTGGATTTGTATTCTGAAGTCTAAACATGTTTTTAAAAGAAACGTATGACAAAAGTGGCACCTGCTCAGTAAAACCACCAACAGGGTGTAAAATATCAAAATATTGTAGGCAGAGACGGGCTACAGCTTCTGGATCCACTTTATATAAATCGTTTTATTGATTATCATCTTATGAAAGAGAGCTTTGACGTACACGAGCGACTGGTACCGGCTGTTGTCACCTGTTGTGAGCAGCGCTCTGCTGTCTGACGGTTTTGTGTTCTGGGGCAGCGGCTGGATCTCTGGGACTTGGAGCTCTCTTAGTCTCCTACACATCTTTGGGGGCAGATCTGTGGCCCCTCACACTCTCTATTGGATGCTTTTATAGAGAAATCTTACATAAACAAGCGCGTGTACACACACAAGTGCTCACACGGTGCTCTCATAAGTATGGGGTTGGGCACGTTCCACACATGTCTTAACGCTGTCGTTGCCACTAAATGCACTATGATTTATTATTATCGTGTGATTGTATTTCTTCAAGTTGACACAGTGATAGCTTGCTCCTGTTGTGTTGTTGTGTGTCCCATTTTTTTTCTCTTTCTGCAGGCCTAGAAGCAGACTCTTGTTCATTATTGTTTATTTTTGTGGACCCCCCCCAACCCCCAACCCCCTTTTCTCCCCCCACCTTTTGTCTTTGTCTTTATCTTTCATCTCTGATTCCGTGTCTGGTCGGAATGACAAATTATTCAAAAGCAATAAAGTTTAAAGTATCAGACGTGACATTAGCTTTGATGCTCCACCTGAGAGTAAATCTGTAAGGCTTTTCACCAACATTCAGACATCAATTCTGTTTGCTTCACAGCCAGACAGGACACGGGGAAAAAATTATAATAAAAATGTAATATTGTGAGTTTATTTTTAGTCATGCGAAGTTTAATGTAGAAATAAGTAAAACGTTATTAAAAGTTACAGTACTTAAAGCTAAACTGAGATTAAGTAAAATAATGTAAATACCATAAGACTATTCAAAAGTTTGACTGATAACAATGGGGTGTTTAAACTATTAAAGTTGCATTGTTTAAGACTAAATTAAAAAATATGTTGTGACTGAATATTTCATACAATGCAGTTATAAATAAATGTCTTTTAGTACATGTATTGCTGACTATTTAAATTAGTCTAAGCATTCTATATGAAATACAGCAGGTGTATGTGCACTTTCATAAGTGCAAGTAAGTACTAATCAAACTTGACATTTAATAACTTTTGATATTTTTAAACAATAGTTTGAAATTTAGCATGATTTAAAACTTCATTCTTGGGGTTTGATTAGATATTTTCATTTTTATATTATGATTCCTTGTTCAGGGGTTATCAGTAAAGTAGTAATAATTATGTTAATGTATTTTGTCATAGATGTCACACACAAGTTATTAATTTTTATCCTTTAAATTAGATTATACTGTGATTAACTCATTTAAAGAGCAAGTTGCCCCCAAATCAACTTTTTTTCTGATAAACTATATAAATGTGTGTCTAATCGTGCTACAGAAATGCGCAGTCAATAGTTCTGCACTTTAGTGCATTTTAGTTAAGATTTTAATTTTCTGCCTAAAACTGTCAGTGTTGTGCCGTTGTCAGATAAAAACTCTGCACTGTATTTTAATTTAAATCTGTCATAGCTATTGGCTAAGAGGTACACAGTGATGTTAGATGGTACATTATGATGTCACAATGTTGTGAGTGTGTGTATTTGTTTGTGGCTCCACCCTCTCGGTTTGCTAGACAACAGCATTTGTTGCATTTTTCAAACAGGAAGTGGGAGTTGAGTAAGAATCTGGTCATGGGTGACTTGCTCTTTAAAATTTAGGATTGTTTTTACATTTATATAAGTTTAGCAAATTGATGGTTGCATAAGATTCTAAAAGGTGTGAGTGAGTGAGTCTAATTCTGTCTTTACTGAGTACAGACACATGATAACATAGAAATCCATAGTGTTTTTGTTGCTTTTCTAATAGTGCTGTCATGTATTTTATGTTTCAAACAGCATTCACTATGCCTGGCAAAGAGTCCAAACGCAAGGCGGATGCTGCTAAGCGCAGCAATCGTCCAGCTCCGCCTATTCGTATCGGGATTCCAACGCACAGCAATGATGATGCTAATTGTATGTATTGCAGTATTATTTCGCAGAACAAATTATTGTAGTGTTTTGCAATTCATTTAATCTATACTGTATTTATGTAAGATGAAAAATTATTAGCCAAAAAGATTGTTAATTTTTGTGTGTGTGTGTTTTTGTTTTGTAAGTTTCTGGAACTGGCTTTCGTCATCGAGTTCGTCGTTGGCCGACTAGTCTGATTTCTAACAAAGCTCACAAGTTGGTCCTTCCAGATGAGATTCCTGAGAAGAAAGTGAGTGTAATGTCCACAAATATTTAAAATGTAAATATAGATTTTCTTCCAATACTATCTAGCAATACTCTGGGATTCTAAGGAAACGGTCAGATGGTGTTGAAGCCGCTATCAGTTACAGTGCTGCAAACAGACTGAATCGGCTTCTTTTTGACTTGTGCCTCAAGTCTACCAACTTTTGAATCTTAATAGAAAACCTAGTTGTGTTCATCTTCCTTTTTAGTCGGTGCTTCTCAATCTGTGATTTAGAACTTAAGCTGCTCAGTTATTTTTACATATCTTTATTTGTATTAATGTTGGTGTATTCTGTGATTAGTTTTACCATTTCATGTTTTATTGTTTGTAAACTTTGACTGTTTAATGTGATCTCTTTCTTCCTGAAAAGCATATTGCATTGCCGTTTGTATGAAATGTCCTAAAAATACAGATTGTTTTATATTGAAATGTATTTATTAATTTTTCTAATTTAGTTCATCCTACTTGTTGGGGACTCCCACTTGAGGTCCGTGGCAGACGGCATAGTCCCTATGCCGGTTGGCGGCCTCGCTTTTGGTGTGATGTCCACTCCAGGAGCTTGTGCAGATCTTCTGCGCCTTGAGGTTTCACAGGCTGTGTTACCTCGGGAGCCTGATGCTGTTTGCGTCATGGCTCCTTCTAACAACCTTACGGCCAGCAGAACAGTTGAAGAGGCAGGGGATGCATTTGAGCGGTACCTTTTGGCTGTTCTCAGTCGCTGGCCTAAGGTGAGAGGCTGATTTGTGTAATTTTGAAGGTATGAGAGATGACAGTAAACGTACATCCTTAAAAATAATTGTATTCTTCTTTTTTTTTTTTTTTTAGGTTTTCTGTACCTCCATGATTCCCCGTTTAGTTGGATCCTGGGAGCGTCAAGACCTGTTTCAGCAGGAGTACCACCGCAGATCGGCTAAGTTAGGTAAGTTGCAACATAATTAGATGAAACGGTAGTATTAACGACAAGCGTTATTGCTATTTACTCTTAGGTATCAAACAATCACAATGTATAACTTTACATGAATTTTTTCCTTCTGCTTCGAAGGTGTAAGTTATGTGCCGATCCACGATGCCCTACCCAGGTACCGTCTTAAACTGTGGTGCCGTGATGGTGTAAGTATATTGCTTGGAAGAAAACCAGGTAAAGGTTCTTAAGTTTGAGATGATAAATTTGTATTGTCTTTTGTTTGTGTTTGTGGTTGCAGATCCACCTCAGTGATAATCACGGGATGCCTATACTCACGCAACTGATGTGGAATGCCTCCTATCAGTTCTTGGAGACACACGCACCAAAGCCACTGGTGCAGCACCAGGTGTCTCGTCCGTAGAAAGCGAGTATTGTGCCCCGTGTGGTTGTGAAGGGTGTGGAACGCATTCCACCTCCACGCCCTTCCGAATGGACGTTTGTGAGACCTAGCGGGAAGGTGAGAGACTTTATAAAGTATAAATATTGTAAAATGTTTATAATTTTAGGCAACTGGGCCAGTAATGCTTCTAAATGTGTTTTCTTTTATTTACCATTGCAGAGAAACCATTCAGGGGAATTTGAAAAGGCTTCTAATTCCCCCAAGAAACGAGTGGTTGTTTCTAAGGTTTGTGAATATTTTTGATTGATCTTTTTCAAAGAATTTTGATTAGATGATAATATGTGGTGAATTTTCTTCAATAGGCTGATGACACTTCAGTGGCCTTGAAGGAGTGTTTCATCCCCCTGAATCCCGTTAGGTTCTCACCTTCAATTCTGGCTGCCATGGACACGATTGCTCCAGCGGATGGTCCCACAGAATTACAGGTAACTTTAAAGCAAAAGTTTATTATCTTTTAATGTAAAGTGTAATGTTGTTCCTGGTGCTTGTAATATGGGCTGTCTGTATGCTATATTTGAAAGTATTGTACTTAACCGTATTATTTTCTGTTTGTAGACTACGTCTGTGCGACATTTTAAGAAAGCAGCTAGGCGTGTCCAGCAGGAGGTTGATTCATTAAATTATCTGGCATACAAATACATTGTGGTGTTATTTTTCTTAACCGTTGTTGTTCTTTAATTATAGGTTGCATCCACACCTTGCATAAATCCTCTTGCAGACGTGGAGTCTGTTCGGTCTAGGAAGGAGGTAAGAAGCGTGTGTTTCAAACATAAAAACTAAACTAATCTTTATTGACGATGTATTGACCTTTAATTTCTTCTGTATAGGTGTTGGACTGTGACCAGCTGCCTTCACCCCACCATCAGGAGGCATCTGGTTGTCCTGGGTCTGTCTCTGGGTCTGGTGCTGCCCATGCTGTGATGCTTCCTTCTGGCCATCACGCGCATGCATCACCCAGAGGTCAGTCTGCTAACACCCCTTCTTGCGTGCGTTCACAGGTTTTGCTGTCGTCTGTAGTTCCAGAGACAACTGTTCAAAATCCTGTTGTAAATAATTTTGATGAAGATAAAACAATTTTACACAACGATGATACAATTTTAGACTCTGTCCTAGGATCATTTCATCAGGGCGATGGGCGTTTTAAATATGGGGGAGTTCAGTGTGCAGCTATTACTGTTGTTGCTTTAACAAAGCACAAACAGAAGAGTGTTTTCTCTTGGGATTTTGCCGTGTTGGATAACGTTGTTGAGTTAGGAGATGAGCTGTACACAGATTTGCGCGACAACAAAAAGATTAGAGGTGGACATGAGTTTCTCTCTGTTCCAGACTTGCCAAAGGAAATTGACATGGAAGAACAGCGTTTTAAGCTTGTTTACGGGGATTTCGTTCTAGGAGATGTAGATGTAATTGAAGGCGAGTTAATAGATGCTTGTGTGTACACTCCTCTCCTGGATGGATTGAAGAAGATGTGCACACAGTATGAAACTTGCATTATGACATTAAGTGGCAATACTTGCGCTATCATTTGTGATAATGGACGTTTTGCTGTAGTAGATTCCCATGCACGCTCCGCAGATGGTATGGTAGACCAGACAGGACAGAGTGTAGTTCTGTACTTTGCGAACCTTGATAATGTTTTTCAACATTTTCAGAGGTTTGCTAGTGAACTGGTGGGATCTCAGAAGTTATTTGAGATCACTGGAGTGGATATTGTTCAGATGGACACATTTAAAAATGTATCTGAACAAACAGATGACATTGACATAAACCCTGTTATTTTTGTTAGTGATGCTAGTACTAAAGATTTTCATTTCAGTCCCATTTCTACAGACGTGTCACAGGTGTTGAGTAAATGTCTGAATGTGAAGTCTGCGATGGTTGATGAATCATCTCCTGTTCCTTCATGTAGCACAAGTGTGGTTAACGTTGATGACAACAGTATTGTAGACAATGATACAATTTTAAGCTCACTTACAGGATCATTTAATCAGAGCGATGGGCGTTTTAAATATGGCGGCGTTCAGTGTGCAGCAATTAGTCTTGTTGCTTTAACTAAGCACAACATACAAAGTGTTTTTTCATGGGATTTTGCCATGTTAGACAATGTTGTTGTTTTGGGCGATGAGTTGTACACACATTTGCGTGACCGTAATCTAATAAGTGCTGGGAATGTGTTTCTTTCTGTTCCAGAATTGCCAAAGGAAATCGTTATGGGCGAACAGACTTTTAAGTTGAATTATGGGGATTTTGTTTGTGGAAATATAGACATAGCTGAAGGCGAACTTATAAATGCTGGAGTGTACACTAGTCTTTGGGATGGTTTGAATAAGATGTGTACACAATATGAAACATGTTTTATTACACTTGGAGACAATACTTGCGCTTTACTTAATGAAGATGGACATTATGCTATTGTTGATTCACATGCTCGTTCTGCAGATGGAATGGTTGATCCAAACGGTAAAAGTGTAATTTTATACTTTAGTAGTCTTGACAATGTTTTTGGATATATTCTGAGGTTTGCCAGTAAATTAAATGGAACTCAGAAGTTATTTGAGATTAGTGGAGTTAACATTGTTCAGATGGACACATTTAAAAATGTTTCTGAACAAACAAGGTTGCCTCCAACAACAGGAAAGGAGGTTAGACGTGAAGAGTCATTTCCACTCTCGGAACCAATCAAGTTACAGACCGATGACACCGACATAAACCCTGTTGTTTTTGTTAGTGATGTTGGCACTAAAGATTTTCATTTCAATCCCATTTCTAGAGACGTGTCACAGGTTTTAAGTAAACGTCTGAATGTGAAGTCGGCAATGGTTGATGAATCATCTCGTGTGATTGGTGAATTGGGTGTACCATGCATGAATAAATCAATAGTGGCAGATGGAAACTGTTTTTTTAGAGCACTTAGTCAAGCTGTTTATAGCACCCAGGAATATCATAGAAAAATCCGTCTTGCTTTGGTCAATCAGTTAAAAAAGAATCCTCAAACGTATCAAACCATTTTAAGAAGTGAGTATTCCTCAGTTTCGCAGTACCTCGCCTCATCAAGGATGCAGTACATTGGCAGTTGGGCAACTGAAGTGGAAATTCAAGCTGCTGCTGATTATTTTGGCATTAACATATTTACTTACTGTAATGATAAATGGCTTAAATATACTTCCAATAGCATCTTTTCACAGCAGGCTGTTTATTTGGAGAATAGTAATGGTAACCATTATGAGACAGTGGTTTGTGTAAAACAACCTAACACAGAAACTTGTTATGGTTATTGTGGCCCTGTAAATAGTATTTCTGGTAGATACAATACTCGACATGCCCCTACAGAACATTTAAAATGTTCAGTAGAAACTGTGACGCTTGAGCCGAGTTCCATAGATACAGATGGTGTTAGTGTTGTTCATTCAAAAACTTTATTTACTCCTATGTCTGCAGAGTTCTGTAAAACTCTGTGTAATCGGTTGAAAATTGATTTTGAGAAACACAATTCCCAAGAGTCCACATCAGGTGGGCCTTTAGGAAATGTGTGCAAGACAGAACATATTATTGAAGATGGTAACAGTTTTTTTAGAGCTGTAGCTCATGTAATTAGTGGGTCACAGAAGGGCCATCGTAAGATCAGACTCGCTGTTATTTCTTATATGTCCAAAAATGCTGAAGAGTGTGAGAAGTTTCTGGGAAAAGAACATGCTTCTGTGTCAGAATACATAAAAAAGTCACAGATGAATTATGTCGGTCACTGTGCTACAGATGTAGAATTTAGAACTACAGCCAGTGTTTTAGGATTACCCATATTTATCAACAATGGCACAGAGTGGGTCAAATATAGTTCTCAAACTGGTAATTTCGTCACTGAGGGGCTATATTTGTCAAACTGTAATAATCATTTTGAACCCATTATTTGCATAAGACTGGGTAATAAAGAAACATGCTTTGGGTTTTGTAAAGTTGATTCTTTGTCAGACAACGTAAACAAACGCAGAAGGTCAACTATGATGCAGTTAAATGCTGACCCAAACATGGAAAAGGTAAAAACGAGGAAGAGTTTTTCCAGATATTTAAAGCAAAATAAGGCTCATGCAGAAGCCTCTAATTATAAAACGTTAAGTGCAGTTAAAGACAAAATAAAAAGTCAGAAGAAAAATGCATACAAGGAAAATGTTGCTTACAGAATGAAAAAGATCAGCACGACCAAATTTAAATACAAATTTCTTCTTGCACATAAAGAGAAAGTTAAACGGAGAGCCAAACATAGGGCCATTTTCAACTACCATCATAATTTGGCTTACAAAGAGAAAGTTAAACATAGGGTCAAACATAGGGCCATTTTCAACTATCGTCATAACTTGGCTCATCGAGAGAAGCTTAAACAGGTGAGTGTGTATAAGTATCATCATAACTTGGCTCATCGAGAGAAGCTTAAACAGATGAGTGTGTATAAGTATCATCATAACTTGGCTCATCGAGAGACGCTTAAACAGGTGAGTGTGTATAAGTATCGTCATAATTTGGCTCATCGAAAAAAAATGAAAGAGTTGACTAGAAAGAAATACCTTAATATTGAGCATAAAACATGTTTAATAGAAAGTATCCAGCATAAAAGAATGCTGATTAAATTAAATGCACAAAACTTTGATTTTGTTATAGATCAATTTTTAGAGAAAGTGAAAGATGGACCTGATTTTGTGTGTTGTGTCTGCTCACGGTTGTTGTTTAGACATCAGGTCTTAAATTGTAATCAAGAATACTATAGAAAAACCAAAGAAATGTCACTTATAGCAGATAAATGTATAAGTGACAATCATCTGCACATTTGCAATGATGCCTGTAGATTACCTTGCAAATTTAAATTATGTAGAAATAAACTGTACATCTGTTACACGTGTCATTATAAAATGGGTAAATGTCAGATACCCCCAGAAAGTTCAATCAACAAGCTGACTGTTGATCCCATCCCACCTCAACTGGCATGTTTAAATACATTAGAGCAACATTTAATAGCGATGAATATACCATTTATGAAAATGTTGGCTCTGCCCAAAGGTGGTCAGAATGGGGTTCATGGCCCGATCGTTTGTGTACCTGCAAATATAGTGGAAACGTGCAGTTTGTTACCACGTACCAACATGGAGGGGTCTTTATTACCTGTTAAGTTAAAGCGTAAATTGACATATAAAGGACACTATGATTATCAGTATGTTGACACACAGCATGTTCAGGAAGCTCTTCAGTATTTAAAACATCATAATTTGCATTACAAAGATGTAGAGTTCAATGAGGCTTGGATTAACACATTTACTCAGGAAGATGAGTCATCTGTCTTGGAAAAGGATAGTGGTTCTAGTAAAGATGAAGATACTTGCATAGATGGAGAAGATGAGTTATTGCATGACAGACAGCAGCACTGTATGTTTCAGGACACCTGTCTCATGCCAGTAGATATAGGACAAGAAGCATTGGACCAGTATGTAGATAACATATTAAATTTAGCTCCAGGTGAAGGTAACAATCCAGTGAAATTGCTATCAGATTTTACAAATGAAGCAAAATGTTTTCCCGTCTTGTTTCCTTCAGGATCTAATACTTACTATGAAAGCAGACAATTTCGTTTGACTCTGAATCGGTATTTCAACAACAGGCTTCTTCATGTTGATGGTCGATTTGCTAACAATGTAGAGTATATATTTTTTGCGCAGTACATGTCTGAACTAGAGCAAGTTGTGTCCAAAGTTTCTATAGCTTTACGTAAAGGTAAAAGCGGTGAGTCTCAGAAGTTGGGTAATTTGATACAGGATCAGGATTCTTTAAATAAGCTGTTAGAGTTTGATGATGGCTACCGGTTTCTTAAACCAATTCGCGGCACACCTGCTTTTTGGCAATCTGCTCAGCGAGACCTCCTGGCCTGTGTAAAAATGTTGGGCAAACCTACTTGGTTCGCATCATTTTCTTCGGCAGATTTGAGGTGGACTAACCTTCTTTATAGTATTTTGAAACAGGAAGGCAGAACAGAGACAGTGGAACAGCTGGAGTGGGCTGATAAATGTGACCTCCTACGTAGGAATCCAGTAACTGCTGCCCGAATGTTTGATTTTAGATGGCATGTCTTCTTAAGGGAAGTGCTAATGTCTCCTGCCAATCCCATTGGTAAAATAGAAGATTATTATTATCGTGTTGAGTTCCAGCAGCGTGGTTCTCCTCACTGTCATTGCCTTTTCTGGGTTTCTGGTGCTCCCATTTTAGATAAGAACACAGATGAGGAGGTCATTGCATTTGTTGATGAATATGTCACATGTGAACTTCCTTCTGAAGACGATTCACTACATGAAGTTGTCTCATCTGTCCAGCAGCACTCCAAACGGCATTCAAAGACTTGTAGAAAGAAAAAAACTGTTTGTCGTTTTAATTTTCCACGACCCGCATCTGTTAGAACTTTTATTAGTCGCGGCGAAAAGTATCAAGATGCAGTGAAGACTTGCAAATGTGATAAAACAGATAGCACTGTACAGTGTGCCTGTGCGTCTCAAGATAAAGCACGTAAACAGGAAATGGACAAAGAAGTAGCAAGTGCCATTTTAACTAAAGTAAAGACTGCTATTTCTAGTGAAGACTGTCCATATAACAGTGTAGAAGGTCTGTTTCAGGGCCTGGGTATCAGTCAGGAACTATTTGAGATGGCATATAAACGATTTAGTCGAAATACACATGTTGTTTTGAAAAGGGAAGTTAATGAAATCTGGATTAATCAGTATAGCAAGTTGCTGTTAAAAGCTTGGAATGCTAATCTTGATATCCAGTATTGCGTCGATGCTTATGCGTGCTGTGTATACATAATATCTTACATGTCTAAAAGTGAACGGGAAATTGGCCTTCTGCTTGCTAATTCTCAAAGAGAAGCAGCCAAAGATGGTAATCTTAGTGCTAAAGAGGCCTTGAAGAGTCTTGGTAACGTTTATCTTCATAATCGGGATGTTTGTGCTCAAGAAGCAGTCTACAGGCTAACTAACATGCATCTAAAGGAGTGTTCTAGGAAAGTTGTGTTTGTTCCCACTGGTGATAATATAGTGAAAATGAGTTTGCCTATTTCTGTTTTGAGGCAAAAAGCAGCATCACAAGATCTTACTTCAGATGACATGTGGATGACCGGATTAGTTGATCGTTATAAGAAGAGGCCAAATGATGATGTGTTCAATGATATGTGCCTGGCTACGTTTGCATCAGAATATCGTGTTTTGAGTAAAAACGAAAAATGTAGAAATCCTATAAAGTTAAGTAATGATTTAGGATTTGTTACAAAAAGAACTCGGACTAAACCAGCGGTTGTTCGTTACGCGCGTTTCTCTGAAACGAAAGACTCAGAGAAATTTTATCAAAGCATTTTGCAGTTGTTTTTACCGTACCGCCATGATAGTCAACTTAAGCTTAACTGTGAAACTTTTGAGGAATTTTACAGAACTGGTTTAATTAGATTTTTTGATAGAACAAACCACTCGGTAAAGGCTGTTGTAGATTTAAATCGGGGTAAATTTGAGTTGGAATCTGATCATTTGGATGCTGTGAATAATATAGTCGGTGATGTAATTTTAGAAGATGCATGGTGTGAGTTGTGTCCGGCAGTTGAAATGGAACGTTTAGAGTGTGTTGAAATACTGAAAGAATCAGAACCAACAGTAAGTGACGAGGCAGAAGTAATCCCAGATTTGGCTCCATGTTCAAACCAAACTGCACATTTAGAGAAGAGAAACACGATGAGTAGAGGTGAAGGTCTGGCATTGATTAGGTCTTTAAATGAAAAACAGTTTTCTGTTTTTAATCAAATCAGGCAGTGGTGTGTAGATAGAGTTAATGGTAATAACCCTGAACCACTGCATGTTTTTGTTACAGGCGGGGCGGGCGTTGGGAAAAGTCATTTAATTCGAGCAATAGAATATGAAACACAGAGATTACTGTCACCAAGCTGTAGACATCCTGATAATGCATGTGTAGTATTGGCAGCTCCTACTGGGATTGCAGCATATAATTTAGGTGCAACAACAATCCACACTACACTGTCTATAGGAAAGGATGTACGGTTACCGTACACTCCTCTGGGTGAAGAAAAACTAAATTCTTTACGTACAAAATATTGTGATTTGCAGCTTCTTATTATTGATGAAATATCAATGGTCGATCATAACCTATTGTCCTATGTTCATGGTAGATTACGTCAAATTAAACAAACGGGTGATTTTTCACCTTTTGGAAATGTCAGTGTAGTGGCTGTTGGAGATTTCTTCCAGCTACCTCCTGTTAAAGGGAAGCCACTCTATTCTGATGGTGTAGGTAGCAACTTATGGTCAAGCCTATTTAAAGTTGTACAGTTAACTGAAGTCGTTAGACAGAAAGATGCTGTGTTTTCTGGACTGCTAAATAGAATCAGAACTCATACAAAAGGTACACCATTGTTACCTGAGGATTTAAAGGTTTTAAAAACTTGTGAAACAGGTGAGGCAAGCTCAGCATTGCACATATTTGCAACAAATAATCAAGTAAATAATCACAACATCCATCAGTTATGTCACGTTTGTCCTGATTACATATCAATTACAGCCAAAGATTATGTTAATGATAAAAGAACAGGCAAACTGAAGTTGTTGGAAGGGAATCATGCCAGAGCTTCTAATACTAACTTGTCAGAAGTGTTACAGTTGGGTAAGGGTGCTCGTGTAATGTTGTGTAAAAATGTGGATGTCAATGACGGTTTGGTAAACGGAATTTGTGGTACTGTGACAGAAATGGTAATGTTAGAAAATGACACCTTTCCTAAAAAGGTTTATGTTCTGTTTGATGACCATCGTGTAGGCTTGCAGAGGAGGAACAACTCCCAGTCTCTGTCATCAAATTTAGCTGGATCTACACCTATTGAACCCGAGGAGGAAAGGGCCACTGTTAAAGGTGGATTACGTCGACAATTTCCTCTTAAATTAGCTTGGGCGGTTACGGTTCATAAAGTTCAGGGACTCACTCTTGAAAACGCCGTTGTTAGTTTTAGGAAAATATTTGCACCAGGTCAAGCATATGTAGCACTTAGCCGTGTAACAAGTCTTTCAGGACTCACAATTCAGGACTTTGATGAAAAACGAATCTATTGTAAAGATGACATCACAGTTGCAGTTAACGAAATGACCCCTTTTTTGACTCCAAACTCACAGTTCGACAGATTTAACTCTTCTGCATTCACTGTGTTTTTAATGAATGTCCAAAGTCTGAATCGACACGTTAAAGACTTGGCTTTCTGCACACAGCATTTGCAACCTAATTGCATTGCTGTCACAGAAACATGGGTATCTACAGACAGATCAGATGCAGTACAGATTGATGGCTATAGTTTTTACAACTGCCCACGAGGTTTAGCTTATTCTAGTACCCATGAGTCATTGGTTGCTTTTCAAGAACAACAACATGGTGGTGTTGGCTTTTATACTGCAGATGGTGTGGCATTTAAAATGTTGCAGGCTCCAGACGTCAACTTGGAGAGTTTAGTGTATAGCTTTGTTAACTTACACATAGTACTTGGACTCATTTATCGACCTCCTTTGTATCCCCTTTCTTTGTTTAAAGTAAATTTAACAAAGTTGCTTGACTGGCTGGAGGTACAAAGTGAGACATTAGTACTAATGGGAGATTTTAATGATGACATTTTAAAATCATCAACAATATTAAAACTTTTGACCGACAGAGGCTATGCCCAAATAGTCAAACAGCCAACAACTGAAAAAGGCACTTTAATAGATCATGTCTATGTAAAATCCAACAAGTATATAACAGAAGCATCTGTTATTCCAACATATTTTAGTGATCATCAGGGCATCATGTGTGATTTTACACGGCTTTAGTTTACCTCAAAAACCAGATTTAATTTGAACAACACCTGACTGCAGAATTTGTAATGTAAAGATGTGTGTGTGTGTGTGTGTGTGTGTGTGTGTGTGTGTGTGTGTGTGTGTGTGTGTGTTCTATTTTAGCTTTACTTTTACTAATATTTCACCTTTCCTTACATGAGCTATCTCTACTGAGAGCAAAGTCAATTTCGTTGTACACCTATGCAATGACAATAGAACTTATATATATATTGTCCATATAGTCTGTCAGAACTTTTCTACATGAAATATATTAGATGTATTGTTTTTAAGCAGTGTACATGTTACGATGCCGTTGAGGGGTTGTGCACACTCAGGACAACTTCGCTGCCGCGTTCCATGTGTGAAAGCAGGGGTTGCAGGACAATGTGTGCACAGGAGTGTAGCAAGATTTTTAAACTGAGTGTTGAAATTTCTCTGATGCATATAGGTGAGAAGTGTTACATTCACAAACTATTTCGCTGTCATGACAGCAACGAAGAGGGTAGTAACACGCGGAACGTTTTGGTGTCGTGCATTTGTCATGGCACTAGAATTTCGGGTGTGGTGCAGCACCACGCCTATGTAGGAAAAACCACTGACTGCTGCTTTATGCTTCACCATTTCTGTGATTTCTTCAATTTTCATGTCCCCTACTGACCTAGTCAAAATAACATTGAGCCATTTCCCACCTTCTCTCAGCTCTAGAATGCTCTTTCCCCTTCTCCTCTGAATTAATCCCTCACCCACATTTTAATCAAACTAAAAACATATCTGTCCAGATCAGGAATTAATACACTAATTTTATTGTTTTTGTGTGTGTGTGTGTGTGTGTGTGTGTGTCATCTTCTTTGTTGCAAAATGTCTAGGATGTATTGGAAAGCTTTCAAACATGTATTTTTTACATCAAAATTAAATGTGTTTAAAAGCTTTCTAAAGGTTTCGTTTCCTGCATTAAGATGGCATTTACTGAAATTAAACTGAAAACCTTTAGTACAATTGGCTTCTCATTCATCACTATTGAGTGATGTAACAATTAAACACCAAATTATGCATAATGTTAAAAATTAAACTGGTGAATTTCATGCTGTTTTAATGCAGGGTTTGCTTTACCTGGTAAAATGCACAAAAAAGCAAAGGCAATGGTCTGGTCTCCCACTTGTGGGACAGGGTTCAAATCCCTGTGTTGCCCTGCTAATTGTGTTGATTACTGGAAAAACTATTATTCAAAAAGGCAAAAAACAATAAAAATTAAGTTTAAAATTTTTCTTGCTGCAATTCACCCTAGAACTAAACACACATTTTGATTTCAAGGACAACTGATAAGATCACACCCATGGGCATTTATAGCCTGCTTTTGGGGGTGCTGAAGCACCCCTAAATTCATCTCTAGCACCCCTAACATTTAACATTTATTTATCTCTTTATTTTTACAATTTATGGTGATTTTTCACACATTACTAATATCTAAAAACAATAGGTCAAAACATTGTTTAACAAACAATAATATAGCAAATCTCCCCTGTCTCAAAAATGGTTTGATCCTGCCTACCTTTCCAGCCTCTACTCTGAGCCTTCCTGAGTGACTGACATGCTGCCAATAGGGACCTCGTTCCTTTCTGTAGGACAGTCCTGAATTTACATTATTTTTCACAGGTCTTTGAATCTTGCATAAACTGATTGTGAGGCAAAAACAGCAGCTGTCAATCAAACTAGGAGATGGGACTTTGATGCAGGTCTGGAGCGCGTGCCACTCATGAACCTCTATACCAAATAGTAACGTCAGAGTGGTCCAGGACTCATGGGAGATGTGACTGGAAGAGTGAAAAGATGTGAAGCAAGCATTTTATTTGTGGTCGGAAATGACTGGAAACATGGGTTTAGAAGTGGCAAGTGCATGGAGGAGAATGAGAGACAAATTTGTCTGTGTTAAAAAGTCTCCTATATACAAAAAAACAATATAAACACATTATCTTGGACCAGATACATGACAGAATACCACAGAACGACGCTACGCCCTCTGTAGTCCTGCCGGGGAATTGCTTTGCAACACTCCCCAGAAGACAGAAGTATGAGAGCAAAACGCTTCCGTCAAGCCGTGCGTGTCTGTCCCTTGCGGAGCTGACGGAGAAGAATGAATCAGGCTTTAGTTTAGGACACTTTGTTACTGAAAAAGGTATTTTTAAACTTGGCTTATTCGGAAATGTTTATCCATCCAAATGCTACAACACAGCTAGCATCTGCAGAGGCATCAGCTTCTTTCAACCTGCTCCTGGCAGCCTCTGCCACCCTACACCAGGTACAGAACTGTCTTATTACATATGCAAATGTGCAATCTCTGGTTATTAAAATGATTTAATTCTTAAATATTTTATCCTTCAGCATCTACACTGCACCTACTACCTACTAGCAGCTCTGCCACTCCAAACCTGGTATACACATCTCATCCCATAGATTTAGAATATAGTGTATTATGACTCCTGTGTGTTAATTCGAACTCCAACCTCCATTCGAAACAGAAACGATGCAAAAATCAAGAAAGGGGCATAGCTCACCAAGCGCCCACGTCTCGTTAGTTTCATAGGAAACAACGAAAGTCCCTGCTTCAGAGTATGAGCTAAAACTGTTCTAGGAACTACAGGAAAAAACTTCCTAGTTCCAATCTGTTCAAACACATCACAAGCCAAATATAATGCCATTCTGACCTTGTCTTTAGAAGTTAATAAAGTTTGAACCCATCTAGGGTCCGCTGTGACCATTTACAACTAAATCCCATAGAGCTCATCTTTGGTTATCAAACATTGTTTTCTGTTAATTTGGCATCAATCAAATGTTGCATGGGTCATCTAAAGACAAAAAGCTGTAAGTGCATGGAATTAAAGTTATTTGAACAAGTGAACACACACATGTGTTGATTGCAGTTGTGTGATGACTCCCACAAAGTTAGATATAGTTTGGAGCTTTTTTGCAGAAGTTACAAAGGTTTTATTGTATCTAGGGGGCGCTATTCCAAATTTAGGAAATATTCCATGAAGAAGTTTGTGGGTTGATAACAGCCATTTGTGTGCAGTTTGGTGTGAATTGCATGATGCAAGTGTTATTCAGGGCCTAATAAATGTCAGGGGGAGGAGCTAAAGCAATATCAACCAATTGCTACAGGATTGTGTTGGGTGCCTTTGTGTGATGACACATAGCAAGTTTGGTGCAGCTACGACCTCGTCTGTAGGAGTTATTACAGTTTTAATGGTGTGTAGGGGGCGCTGTGGTGACATTACACAACGTTCACCAACCGTGTGTGCCTCGTTGAATAAAGGGCATGATTGTTGATTGCCATGTTCAGTCTCGGGCAGATCGGAGGCTGTTAGTGGAAGTTACAGTCAAACGTAAGGTCACGGCGTCACGCCAGAATTCGCCGTGGCATCAAAGCCCCTCCCTTTCTGAAAAGCTATCAGATCTGAATGGTCATTACAACATCATGAAGACAGTGCATGACCTTAGTGTCATGTTGACTAAAGTAGAGGGGACAAATATGGGCATTTCACCATAAAAAAATAGACTTCCTGTAGTCAGGGGGCGGGGCATAGGTGATGTCAGCTGTCCACATTGTCATTGTCTTGAGATGTGGTCAATGATCACACAGACACAGTTTGATATAGATCTGATCATGCACATGGGAGTTGTTAAGTCAAGTAATGTAATGGCGAAAGGTCAAAGTTTGAGGCTTAGCCACGCCCACACCTTTATACTTGTATAAAATCCGACGGTTGAATTTTTCCCGCTTTATCTTAAGAGTATATAGCAGAAGTTTGAAGGCGATTGGTGAAAAGGGCAATGGTGCAACACTCTCCAAACAACGTGTGTGAAAACCACTAAATCGAGTACTTGGACCAAAATGGCCGACTTCCTGTGCGACTTTGCACTTGGCTCCAAGAGACTTTTTTGTAGGTCCTGAGACCTCACATTAGTGTACCAAATTTCGTACTCCTCAGTCAAAGCATGGCTTGGGGCTGACAGTTTTAATGGACCTAGGGGGCGCTATTTCAGAAAATAGGCCACGCCCACCGGATGTTCACATGAGATCTTTTGGGGGGCCGGACTAGGATCACTCACAAGACGTTTCGTGACTATATCTATAGAAATGACGACATGGGAGGCACACGTATGGCCACGGCGGTACACCTGACTTCGCCGCGCCGCCACAGCCCCGCCTTCTGCAGAAAACACCCATAAAGTGACGCCAAGCAACACCAACTTCTCTTCAGTTACCTGCTACAAATTTGGGCAGATTATTCGAAAGGGCGAATTTTGGAAAATTTCCCAGTAAAACTTGACCTTTTAAGTCCTGAGGGGGCGGGGCTTGTGTGACATCATCCAGCGACCATTCATTTGTCTTTGGGGGGCGATGGCAATTATCCATAGAAAGTTACTTTAACTGTAATTCTTTCATTTATGAAATTATAGCTATTTGAATTTTTTTGGCGAGTGCTCGAACTTTGAGGCCTGGCCCCGCCCCTTCAGTATTTACGAAAAGTCAATTTTATTTTCTCATTTGAATCGTCCATCGCTTCTGTTCGATGGCACACTATTTTAGAGACGATGGTACGAAAAATGACGAAACTGTTCAACCAAATATAGACCCTAGAAATGGCCAAAACGGCTAAAAATCGCCATTTCAACCCAAAATGGCCGACTTCCTGTTTTATATTGACCATGGTTGCAAGAGGCTTTTCTGTGCGGACTGTTGAGTAGTACCAGTATACCAAATTTCATAACTGTACGATAAACTAAGCTTTATGGAGAGGGGTATTTTTCACTCTTTAGGGGGCGCTGTCGAGCCACTTTTTTATCAACTTTCACATCGCCAGTGAAATACGTAAATTTCACGCACTTTCTATATTGGGCCAGAATTTGGTGAGTTTTTGGATATGCTAAGACCCCCTAAAGGCCACCCAAAGACGCGGAAGAAAAAAGAAAGCGTAATAATAATAAACGGAGCAGATACAATAGGCCTTCGCAGCGCTTCGCTGCTCGGGCCTAATAATAATAATAATAAACGGAGCAGATACAATAGGCCTTCGCAGCTTCACTGCTCGGGCCTAATAATAAACGGAGCAGATACAATAGGCCTTCGCAGCTTCACTGCTCGGGCCTAATAATCACTACAGCATTGCACTTAGAACAGAAAACACAAACTAAAATTAAAACCTAACCTTGATGCAAAGTCATCAATAATGTCATCATATGAAATCTGCTCCCCTACTGAGTGATTGATACAATCAGAGCCAGGTTAGTGAGCTGCCCCTGAAACATAGTTGACCTCAGGTATGACTTGATCAAGTTTTGAAAAGCTCCTCTCAGCTTGAGCCACAGTGACTGGCAGAGCAGTCCAAAAGTTGGGGTAGATCTCCAATAGATCTTTATCATGATCCATAATATTTTAGAATTGCCTCTGAAATTGTAATTTAAACTGACATAAAAAAAACTGTAGACTACCAAAAATGCCAACTTTAACAGAACAAATCAGGTAAAAAAATAATCAGTGCAGCATCTGCAATAAAAAAACAGGATAGTTAGCGGTGACTGGGGAGTATTCTTCTGCTTGTACAGTTGTTTTATTATTATGTGAACATGATCAACATGTGTTTGTTGTTGTTCAGGCAGGCAGGCCACAGGCTGCAGCGAGCATTTAACAAATCCTAATTTGAATCAGTAAAAAACGAAGGATTTTTTTTTAACCATTTGAATATTTGTTTCAATATTTCAGCCCTATTAGCTCTGTTAGCAATTAGTTGACCGAATTTAACCGTTAAAATTCCAGTTAACTGGTTAAAAAATGGAAAACATGCATCATGAGAGCGTACATACCTTTATCTTTCTCCTCTTTTTTTCTTTTTTTTCCCCTGAATCGAGCACCTGGTGGTTTTAGCCTTTTTATGTTCATCTCTTCTGTTTGGCTCTTGACCCAATAAGTTTCCTTTAGTCAGGACTAAACAATTTGACCTTGATGGGGGGGTGACCACAAAATCGTTTTGTTTTTCCTTTTTTTATTTGGCCATTTCACACAATTCAGAAAAACCTGAAAGAATGATAGGCCTGTGTTTATGATATTATCAATGAAATGTGCGTTAAATGGAAGAACATCAAGATGTGATTGACTTTAGCCATGTTAATACAGTTGATTCAGCCCCTACCCGCTCATTTCATTTGGGAAGACCCAGAGGTGAATTCCCCCGCCGCACCCCTCCCCTTCCTCTTCTTCATACACACACGGTGCACGTGAACGTTCTAACTCCGACAGGAGGAGCACCTGCAGCTGCAGGGGGCGCCAACTTGCTGTTTCCAATCCAGACACTGTCATATGACAGATAATAGAAAACCTCGGTGAGGCACAGATTTCTTTCTTTTTTATTTTTTTACTCAGCGATTGTGCGCCCCTTTTGTGTCATGAAAAAATGCCGCCCCGGGCAACTGCCCTGTCTGTCCGTGCCTAAAACCGCTACTGCTGTGGGTACTTGACACTGGACTTCTGGCATTTTGGCATTTCCCTCTACCCAGTCTTTAAGTCATTACAGATGCATCTGTAAGTTAATTTACCTTAAAGGGCTACAACCAATTTTTGCCCTTCATTCTTATGAAGAGTGCAGTGATTTCTCTCATACCAGATAGAGTTTGATTAATTTTATGCTTTCTGCACCACCTTTTTGCAGTACATGTAGTGGTGGTGCACCCATTTCTTTACTTAAAGGTTAATTCACGTAATTCCTACACATAGAACAGAGGTACTCACAGTGTTAGGTTTCTTTTTGTTTGTTGATTTGCATGAGACACCATTATATTGTGTCTGCATTAAGGGGCCCTGTGCTGTGCTCTCTCTCCTCTCCTGAGTTTCGCTGATGATCCTCGCTTCCCTGGGGGTGGACCTGTGACTCGTCGTCGGATTCCGCTCCTCCTGATGGGTGTTCTGGCTCGTAGGACCTGGACGACCGTTTGTTCCGGTATGGCTGCTGGGATAATTTGCTCACTAGGACCTGACCTGCCTGCTGCTCTTTCCCACACTGAATCACGATAAGTGCAATTACAAAGATCAATATACTGTTTTGGAATTATTCCCTACCCGTGGAAACGTAAAGTTTTGCTCCTGCTTCAACTTATTCCCCCATGTGGATACCTTACTAATTTGCTGACTTGTGTGCCTCCAAAGGGATTATGCGAGACTGTTGAAACCATAGACTGTTCTTCGGAGTGGGGTTCGTACCTCACCACTGTTGGCCTCTTCCGGGGGAACTACACCTTCCCCTGTCATCGGAGTCCCTTTAGGACTCTGGTTTGTTCAATGCCAGGTGGTCTCTGCATGGACCACCGTACCATTGAAAAGGGGGGATATGTAACGGAACGGAAGACTGTGTTTTTCCCTCTTTGCTCAAGACTAGTCTGCATGAGATAGAGTCTCAAGGTCTCATGAATTCCTTCTAACCTGCTTATTTTCAGCTCAACAGAAGAATGAAGAATGGACTCTTTTTTTTAATTAATCAAAGAACTCTATTTTAATAAAGCTAATCCATCAAAGTGTTAGTCAATAAATAAGATGCGACCGATCTGTGAAATCAAAATATTAATTACTTCACTATAATCCTATAGAATATAAAGGTACTGTGACTTTAAGTGTTCCAACAGGACTCATTTCACGTAGCATTAAAAAGACATAACACATTACTTTCACTGATCCAATCAGAATCTTACAGATCTGACGGAGGCGTGGTTTTGATGGTGTTTGGTAATTTTTCATTCGACAATAAACCATAACATCCGAAGTATAAAACCATGCCACATCAGCTCTAACGCCAGTTCAGTGTTCCAGAGAAAGTGACGGAGTGGCCAATCCTGATCTAAAACTCTTTAACTGAAAGAGCCAACAACAAGCTGAAAAATTCGTCGCTATACCAACTGCGGCAACAGTTCTTTTGAGAATAAAAGCTGAACCATCCAGACCCAGGCTCGGGTCTCACCAGACGCCAGCAAATTGCCGTGACCCGGACGTATCTCAGGACGGGTGGTCGGTTGGTCGTTGCTCCATAAGGTCAAGCTCGACCTTTACACCTCCTGATCTAGACGGGGACTTCCGCTCGGGGTATGTAGACCGGCAAATGGTGTCTCATGTGTTTATGGACCTCCTAACCAAAGCTTAATGTGAATGTTATATTCTGGTCTCATTCACGACAAACTCCAGAATATCTATTTCCTACCCAACGGGGTAGTAAGGTTTATTAACAAGACTTCACCAACATACAGTCTCTGCCGGCATCCTATAACGATGCGTACTCTAAAAAC